TTTTTTTTTTTTTTTTGGGCAGGCAGTTACAAAAAGATCAAATTCAAAGAACACTTACAAAAAGGATGTGAAAAAAAACTGTGTCCATCAATGGTTTTTGAACGGTTACAATTTAGGACAGGGAGAAGGGGAAATTCATGCAATATTATTATTATAATTTGAATTTTAATATTAATTAAAATATTAAATGCACCAACTAACTTATAAAATCAGGTGCAGTGATGTTGTGAAGGCCGTTGAGGAATTTCTCAGGAGTGGCAAGTTGCTGCAGGAGGTAAAGTCTACAAATATCGCTTTATTACCTAAGGTCCCCAACCCAAATTATATTAGTGACTATAGACCCATTGCTTGTTGCAACATTGTGTATAACGTGATCACAAAGTTGTTAACTGAGAAGTTGAAAGCAGTGATTGATGATGTTGTTAGTCCTAAGCGAGGCGCCTTCATCGTAGGCAGAAGTATTCAGTCAAATAACCTAATTTGTCAGGATATTGTAAAGGGCTATAATGGAATTCAAGGTCCTGTAGGCTGCTTAATGTAACTTGATGTGAGGAAAGCCTATGATTCTGTTTTATGGAAGTTTCTGTAACAAGTTCCACATGGTTTGGGGTTCCCTTCGGACTTTATTGACAGAGTTATGACATGTGTCTCTGGAGCTAGATTTTCTTTGATCATTAATGGGGAGTCTGTGGGGTATTTTAAGGGGATGAGAGGATTAAGGCAAGGGGACCCAATAGGCCCCTACCTTTTTGTTCTTGGTATGGAATATCTTAGTAGATTGCTAAGAAGCTTGGACGGTGAGGTGGCATTTAGTTATCATTCAAAGTGCAAACAATTGAAACTAACCCACTTGAGTTTTGCTGATGATATAATGCTGTCATGCAAAGCAGATATGAGCTCTACTATGTTAATGAAGCAGAAATTGACTCATTCTCTGCTGTTTCAGGGCTACAAATTAATAGTGAGAACAGTCATATCTTTATAAGTGGTATAACTAATTGTGCTAAGCAGGGAATGCTACAGCATTTGGGCTTTCTGGAAGGGAAACTACCAGTGAAGAGCCTTTGTGTGCCGCTCATAGCTGG